AGCGCCTCTATTAAATTTTTGTACTAACAAAGATATTAAATTATCTAAACTGCACTTCTCGAGCGAAATTCTTGAAAAAATCGCCTATCGAAAAAATAAAATTGATTATAACATAGTAAAATGCCGCCCCCCATTATGCCGCTCTGGGCCGTTGCCCGGTTCGCCCGTACCTCGGGCTGGCCCTGACTGTGATACGTGTCACTACATGGAATTAATGATTATCCTGCCATCTTTAGTTCGACAGCAAAGATTTGAAAACTGAACACAATTAACCAAAAATGTACTTAGAACCCTGTGGAACTCACTCGACGATTTGTTATTATTTTTTTTGGTTAACATTTTTATTTCATCATTTGGAAACGTTCTAAAAAACGTAAAAAGTATTTTATTTTTGACCCATATTAGGGGCAACCCTAATAAACATATAATTATATATAAATGATCATATATTATTAATAATCATTGATTATACGTATATGAAAATTGGCACGATATAATATTTGATAACACTAGTTTACAATTTAATAAAAAAATATTATGGCCTGCTAAACTCGAAAATCACATTTTTTATGGCAAGGTTTTTTTTCATTTGTTTTTTAAAGGTAGCTTCCCACTTGGCAACATATGGCATATACTTAAGTAATTATATCTTAGTTATTAGACATGGGACCCACACCAAATTTATATGAGTTTATAATGACACCAAGTTATCAAGTTGTGTGCAAGCAGAATTTAGATAGAAGTTAAAAAATATATAGTTTTTGCTTTGCCTAACCTGCAGCCTGCAAGATAATACAAATGAAATTAATTTACCATAGTTGTTGTAGTGCCTAATATGTTTAAATATTTCAAATACGACCCTGTTGTACTTTGTCGCGTCACCACGCCATCTACAAAGAAAGTGATGAAGTGTGTACGTAACTGCCGTAACCTTTATAATCTGTGGTAACTGCCGTGAGAACTGATTTAAAAGCATGTACGAGTTTGGCTTTAATTCTTGATAAGTTTATTGTTTTAATTATCAACCTCACCCAACAAAAACCACACAAATAAAACAATAACATGGCGCCCAACTAATGGTAAATCGCAAAAAAGCCGAAGAAACGAACAACTGATGATAACCTCCAAAGAAAAACACGCGGGAACAAATGATGAGAACAAAGGTAAAGGACCTGGACGTTTGGAAAAAAAAGGACTGCATGCTCTGCAACATATAAAAAGTATAAGATAAGTAAACTAGGCTAGTCAAAAATGGAAGATCAAATTCTAAACGACACATTTTTCGGCTTTTGTGGCGATAATAGGTCAGTGGACTTATCGAACCCCTTTCACCCCACTTTCACACAACTTTTAGATCAAAATGAAAATAATTCCTCTCAAATCCCAAATGAAATTCAACCAAACCTTCCAAATAACCTTTCGACAAACCCCTTCGAACAATTTACGCCTTTAGTAAACGAATACACTGTAATGAATACCAATTTACAAGCTCCCTTAGTTGCCTCATTTGAACATATTTTAAACAACATTACACAACGTTTTTCACAAACCTTACAAAATTTCAATAATAAACACCTACCAAATTTCCATGGCAATGATTATGAAAATCCAAAGTACTTTTTAGACTCGCTAAATTCACATTTCACAAAGAATAATATTCAAAACGATACTGAAAAAATGTCTATAGTGGTGACTTGTTTAAAAGGTGAAGCTCAAAAATGGATAAATCCATACCTACAAATAAACATTCAGTTCCCTATGTTTTTAGAAAAATTTAGGCAAAAATACTGTCAAGTTTCTGCCTCAGCCTTTGCACAACTGTACGGGGAAAAACAAACAGCGGATGAACCTGTAGATCTGTTTATTACTAAAAAAATATCTCTATTTAATAAATTAGAACCTGGCAAACCAGAAAATCTTAAGACTGCAATTATTCTAGAACTACTAAAACCTGACCTGAGATCTCGAATGCGTACCTGTGGTTTAATAAACTCTTGTGAAACTCTAATTAATATCTCCAGCAAAATCGAACAAGACTTAAAATCCGAAATCAAGAGTAGTACACAAGTTAATCCGAATTACAATAACCCTAATCAAAATAGTAATACCTTCAGAAACAATCCAAATTTAAATTATAATAGACAAAATTCCAATTCCAACAACAATAGTTCAAATTACCAATCGAATCCTTTACCCCCACACCCATGCAAGTATTGCAACGAAATGCATTACCACTCTGAGTGTCGCAAAAACCCATATTATGCGGAAAACCAGAGGAGGGCCGGTGCTACCCAGCCTCCAGCCGAATTGCGTCCGGCCCAGAAATAACTCAATTCACTTTAACCAATGTAACTGAAAAAAATCAAAACACTTTACCCCGAATTAAACTACATTTTAATGATAAGACATTTTCAGCCCTACTTGATTCTGGATCATCCATTAATATTTTAAGATCAAATATATTCTCTCATACAAACACAACCGAAAATTCCACAATAGTACTGGCGTGCGGAAAAACTAATGTTAAAACTTCTGGAAAATTTTCTATCGAATTTTCAATAAACTCTTTAAATTTAAGCTCAGAATTCTCATTATTTGATGAACTAGAGGAGGAATGTATTCTAGGTACGCCTTTTCTCCAAAAGTACAATGTTATTCTTGATTATAAGCGAAAATGTGCTTATATGGGAAATCAAAACCGAAAAACCGTGTTTTGGAACACAGTTATACAAAATAACAAAAATGATAACGAAATTCTAAGTAAAATTCCTTTACATGTCACGAACAATAAAGAAATGTATAATCTAATTATCGAATTTTCTTAATTTTCGCCTTCAGCAACAAACCCGAAGTACTGAACATCAAATAAAACTCATAGAGCCACATAAATATTTCTGCCAAAAATCATATTCTTTAAACCCATCCAACAAAGAAATTATGTACCAACAGGTTAACGAAATGCTATTATCAGGAGTCATTGAACCTTCCTGTTCAAATTTTAGTTCCCCTGTTCTCGTAAAAAGAGATGGAAAAAATCCACGGTTTTGTGTCGATTACCGACAACTAAATAACAACACGCATGATGAACCTTGTGTCCTTCCAAAAATTGCCGAAACTTTAAAAGATCTTGGTAACTCTAATATTTTCACTGTCCTAGACCTTAAATCAGGCTACTGGCAAGTTCCTATGGAATCAAATTCAAAGCAGTACACAGCTTTTTCAACACCAGATGGCGCTTTGTACCAGTTTACGGTTATGCCATTCGGGCTTAAAAACGCACCCGGAACTTTCCAACGACTTATGACCAATGAAGTTTTGTCAGGCTACCTTCACATATTTTGTAAAGTTTACTTAGATGACATAATCGTGTATTCCTCAAACATTACCGATCACCTAGAACACTTAAGGCTGGTTTTTGAACGCTTAAGAATCCATAATTTAAAAATATCACCAGATAAATGTCAATTTTGTACTCACGACTTAGACTACTTAGGTTACCATATTACGGGCAATAAAATTGTACCACAAGAAAAACACATTCTCTCCATTCAAAATTTTCCAACACCAAAAACAAAAAAACAACTTTCTGCTTTCTTAGGCACATGTAACTGGCTTAGAGAATACATTCCTGATATGTCCAAACTTACTGCCCCGCTAAATTCTCTTTTAAACAATGGCGTTCGCTTTGTCTGGACGACCTTGCACGAAAATTATTTCCAACAATTAAAATATCAAGCTTCACAACCCTTACACTTGCATAGACCAGATTTTAGCAGACGATTTCACTTACAAACAGACGCCTCCGCCTACGGTATGGGTGCTGTTTTATTTCAGTTAAATGAAAAAGACGAAAAACATATAATATCATATTCTAGTGCTAAGTTTTCACAATCTGAAGCCAGATATCACTGTAATGAACAGAAATGTCTTGCTGTAATCTGGGCTATCCGAAAATATAGACATTTTTTGGAAGGAAAACGTTTTAAACTCATTACCGATTCGCGATGCTTACTTTGGTTAAAAAAGTATAAGGATATAAAAACAAAATTCACACGATGGTCACTTTTACTTGAAGAATACATATTTTACATAGAACATTGCCCTGGAAAAGAAAATAATCTTTCCGATTTCCTCAGTCGTAACCCAAATCCCGAAATCTTTGATGCAAAACAATTAAATAACGATAGACTTTTTCCTCCAATCCCTGAAAACCAAAATAATTATAATTCTACTGTAATAGACCCAGAATTGCCCACCGCCAATAATGTACAGTCCTTAGATTTGTATAACAAAATTGTCAGAGCTCAAAATAAATCTAAACCCTTTCAAGAAAAAATTGAAAAATGGAAGAAACCTTATGAAAAACAAGATAATCTTTCCAACCAAGAACAAAACTTTCATATAAATCACCTAGTTGAAAACAATCTGCTATATAGAAAACATCAAGACGTCAATAAACTGGTCATTCCAAGGACACATTATAAACATGTCATTTACATTCACCATGACATTTCAGACACAGCCCATCCTGGTAGAGATGAAACAATCCGGAAAATCCAAAGGAAATATTTCATAAAAAACATTTCAAAAGTAGTAGGTGAATATGTAAGAAATTGTTCCATCTGTGCAGCAGTAAAGAAGAGGCAAATTCAAAAAAATGCTCCCATGGAGGCTCACACTGCAGAATTTCCATTTGAGGTTTTTTCAATGGACATCTTAGGACCCTACAGCACCACATCCAAAGGAAAAAAGTATATTCTCTGTGTTGAAGACATTTTTACTAAATGGGTAGAAGCAAAAGCATATTCCGATGTAACAGGAAAAAAGGTTGCAGAGTTTTTGGAAAATGAAATTTTTTGGGACGTTCGGACCTATTTGGGACCCGAAATGGACGTCCTGGGTACCTCTTGTGCTATTTGGGAAATAGTTCTATAAAGTTTTTGGCACTACGTAGGGTACTGATCACAAGAGAACCGCGACTACAAATTGGTTTTGCACCTTTACATTATTTGCAGTAAGCAATCTGCAGACAGGCATTCAAAACATTTATGGGCAACTTCTTTTACAGGAACCAACTCGCATTTTTTCTCTAATCCTGAACATTTGTAAATTCCTAATTTGAATGAAGGAACACCAACATCACAAAAATCTGCTTTATTCAAGAAATTTCTTAATAATAAACGAATTTTTCCAGTTATCGACAAAATGTTCTCCACGCAACATATGTTCCAGTTTTTTAACATGATACAATTATCACGTAAATTTAACCCTATTTTCATTTCCGACATTTCCAAAGATTGGTATTGTTGACATTCGCCAGTGTGAACGTTATTTGGCAAAGGGCCTTTGCAGTGCTTTTTCTTCAATTCCAGCTGTTGTACTCTAACGTTCCTTGTAATGTCGCACTGTTCCCGTTCTTCATTTCTATTCGAAATTTGAACCAAAGGACTTCCCGGTTCTCTACACATCTCTCGATAGAAACGCATGCTGTTCTCATGGGGAAAGGCCGTGTAATCTTCGCAAGGCCCGAATCAGCGAACATTATCGATCAGGTATAATAACCCATGAAAAGTATACGACAATTTTTTTCCCCTTAAACGTCACCATAGAGCAAGATAAACTGCTTCATGGCATCTTCCGCGAAGTTTAATTGAGAAGCTGTTTGAAATTTTTGGGAAACAAAAACCGAAGTGGCTATTTATACGTCCGACGTATACAAAATTTGGTATACGTCTTGAGCTTTCATTGTTGAGTTTGGGTTGGTTTCGCTCACTGTCAATCAACTTAAATGGGCAAAAGTGAGCGAAACCAACCCAAACCAACCCAAACTCAACAACACAACCCAACCGACCCCGCCCCATTGGCCCCCCCGCCCAATTTTTCAACGAAGGGATATTTATATAATTACATATTATATTATATAACTGTAGCAAAATGAATATTAATGTAAACTTAAATAATAATACTTTTCGCTATATAAATAAGAATAAAAAAAAAAGTTGTTGGCGCCAAGAATCGAACCTGGTATCTCTCGCATACAAAGCGGGCGCTCTTCCATCGGAGCTACCGAGCTTATTGAATAATTTCTTTTGTTTTGAAAATAATACCAGTTTACAGTGTGTGACGTGTGAAGCATGTCTGCGAAAAGTAGCCGGCGCTGGAACTAGACGCTAATAATAAACTAGCCAATGAAAGCACAAGACGTATACCAAATTTTGTATACGTCGGACGTATAAATAGCCAGTTTGAACAAAAACACGCATAGCTGCATGAAAAAGTAGAAAGTTGGTGTAAACGTAATCTTTAACTACATCTTTAAAACATACTACCCCAGTATACAATAGTATCTGACGCCATTGTGTTGCTTTAAAATTCTTGTGATCTTCCAAAGAAATGATGGGTCGATTGAATTCCCGCGGACAGTACAGAGCTATAACCTGCATTTTTTCTGAAACGTCGTTTATTTTACAATTTAGTATTTTTGGTATACGTTCCCAGTAACCAAGCCGAAAGCAAATTTTTTCATTGCACCCAAACACGCCAGATGCATATATTCAAAAACTACGTCACGAACCAAGTCGAAACTTGGTAATAGAGTAAGAGGACTTATCGACTTATGATGTTCTTCATCATGTTGATTAATATAATTCACGTTTTCTATACGAGTGTGTTCAATTCCATCAAGAATAACAAATCTACATGAAGAATAACAAATCTACTAGCTGAAAAGCCCTCTACACTGTTATAAAAATCAGATTTGTTAACATGAGTTTGTAGTTTGTTAATTTTATTTTGTAAAATTTTAACATAACTTTTTGTAGAAAACAAGTGTTTTAATTATTTTAACAAAGGAAAATATTTTACCAAAAGTTTTGTTAAGGTAATATGCATTTTGTAAGCATTTTGTTAATTTTAAAGGTTACAGTAGTACGTGATTTCAGGCAGTCGTTCATAACATTTCCCATTTAGAATACTCATTAACAAGTTTAACTAACTGTATAGTTCGGAACACAAACGAAATTATGATTCCTCATCCTTATATAAGTTTTGGAATCATTCACTGCGGTGAGACGAAAGTAAGAGGTGTCATCTACCGTCTTTTGACATGTTCTTTATGTTATGCCTCACCGCACACGGTTCGCCAAACAACCTTGAACCTGATCCATACTACCGTAAAATCAGAATGAACTGCTTCGCTAGCCTGTTCGCTATAAAAGCCCAAGCCCAAATTTGTTTTTTCACAGAACTCTTGAACGTGAAAAAAGACTGCATGTATTTTTTGCGTTGTTTTAATTCCCAATTCATGAAATGAAGACTTAAATCTATTTATTTGTTTTTTATAATTTGGATCTAAGGTAACGCTAAAAGTCACATCGTTGAAAGCTTCAAGGCAAGTCATACGGCAGCAAATTTATTGGTAGATTTTCTTCCAAACAATCCAAATTTTTCAATAATTTTTTACATGAGTTTCCTGTAAAGGACCCCCCAAGCATGGCCTCCCTTTGAACGTGACAAAGAGTTGCCCACTGATTGCATACCTCTGGAGCTGCTTTTAACATGTTGGTGTATAAGGTACCTAAAAAAATAACATAAAATAAAAAGGTACGCATGATAAAAAATCATTACCAAAGAGCAAATGCAGTTAAGGTGGCGGTATAACTAGGATCATGGGTTAATTTTTTAGGAATTGGTTCATGGATGCAATTAAAAAATGCTTGGATTTCTTCGGATCACTTCCATTTTTAGTCCAGCTTAAATAATGATCTCGAATGTTTGTGAAAGTACGTAGTTCTCCTTCGTTTAAACTTTGCTTTTTTGCACCATGTACAGGAAAAAGCGGAGCTGTGTGACATAATGCCCATCATAATATTTGCCAATTTTAGATCCGTTGAAATACTGTAGGCGTAATTTTTCGTATTTCTTTTGTGCGATAAATCACAATGTACATAATGCGGCACGATTTTTATTGTGAGATCGCATTTTTATTAAATCACTTTTGTTAAGAAAATATTTGATGCCACTCAGCTCAAGCCAAAACTGACAAAATGTGTCAATAACTGACGTATTTTTTAAATAAATACAAATAGATACAATGACGACAACCTTTATAATCTGTGAATGACGATGACATTTTTATTAGCAGTCAAAACAGTACACACGAGCGAGTCGATTTATTAGACCAAGCCGTAGGTGAGGTCCGCAAGTTTAGGGAGCGGCGAAATAAGGTTTTCCAACGAGTTTTTCACAATATTTTTTCAACAATTGCAAAATAAAGCAATCAAATAATTAGAAAAGCCTAGGCGCAATTTTTTTGCACACGATGCTAGAGTGTGAAAAACTTTTTCAGCATGCGTGTAAAAAATGTAATTTTTATAGGCGTGTAAAAATCTCGATTTTTAGAAAGTAGTAGTAGAAAAACACATTTTTGTTCACAAAAACATAATGGACTGTTCAAAAATTTTGGATTACGATTTTTTTTTATCAAATTGTACAACAAATATTATTATGTAAAAAATAAATTTGGACAATTTTTTTGATAATTTTCATTTTTTGCGAACCGTGCGCAGTGAATGATTTCAAAACTGGACGAGAAATCATAATTTCGTTTGTGTTCCGCACCATAATATGGTTGCTATATTATAGCAACTCGATACTGATGTTCCAATAAAGGGAAACAGCTGTTTATCGATTCTGGTGAGGAACACGAACGAAATTAAAGAAAAGCCTAGACGAAATAATTACATCAGTAAGTTTTGTACTAGTACTGATAAATTGAGAAATTGACTAAAAAAGCAACATTTCTTATCAAAATTCTTTTTATTAAATTTCCGAGTTACAAAATATACTTTTGTTACTGGGTATACCTACAAAAAGGTTTGTAAAATACAAAATTACAAGAATTATGGTTAAAATATTGACATAGGATTTTGTTATTAAATCTACAAAATGTTTGTTATATAATTACAAACTACTTATTCAATTAGTTAACAGATTACAGTTAGTTGTAAACTTAACATAAAGTTATGTGGACCTGGATTAACATAAAATCTAGTTAACATTTGGTTAAAATTAACAAATATTTTTTTACTGTAGACTTTGCCTTTAGAATATGGAACAAAGGCTCGATGTCGCTTGTGGCCTAATATAAAAGCTCGAGTAGGAGCATCGGCAATGAAAAAACGTAATTTTATTTCAAATATTCGATCATTGTAACTTATTCCACCTTCTTGAAGTAATTTTAGCAAATCTACAATAAAAAACTTATAGAATTCTTCTGAAATGTAAGGTTTTACTTTCGCTTTAAAAATTCCAACAGCCATAGTAGGAGATTTTTTTAAATTTACGATTCGACATTGTATAGGCCAAATAGAGTTTTTTTTACCAGTATTTGTCAATTTGGCCCCATCGCGATGCATCGGTGCTAAAATCCATGTGGAGTGTTTTGGGAATTTCTGAAAAGATATAATTTCGAAGTACTTTGCTAATGCAGATTTTGACTCCGATATGCAGATATTCTCCAGGATCTACTTTATGCAAAACAGGGGCGGAACGGGGGGTGGAAAGAAGTGTTCTGGTGTCTCTGGGCAAGAAAGAAAAAAACGCATGACTTTTTAAAAGTTTGAGTAAGCGTGTTCCAAAAGTGAGGGTAGAGTCTAACAACAAATATGCCAAATTGTTTTGAAAATTCACTTTATCGAATTCTTGTCGAGGAGCTTGCCCTGAATTGTGATTGGAATCACTCGAATCACACATAATTTCAGATCGAGTATTAACTAATGAGCAATCAATATTTCCGGAATTTTTGAGAGCATAATTACGAATATTAAAATCGTGAGTTGTGCATCTTTTTATAGTTGTTGAATGTTTGACATTTATATTATTCGAAAGGTCTTTTTGATTGCGCATCATCCGTTTAATTTTATCTTTGTGATGTTTTATGCGTGATCTTTGCTGCCTCTTCGACAGTAATTGTAATAAAGGCTGAGATCCCCTCACATACCTCGATTGTGGTACTTGCTTTACCTTCAAGGTATTAAAATTTTTAGTTTTATTTCAGTGAGATGCAAAGTTACAAAAATTATAATGATTGACTATTTACATTTTAATGTAAACATTGTTCTGTAATAAAAACCCTCATTTGGGATATTACGAACAAAATTTAATATATCATAAAAAAAGCAGTTTATACTACAAATAAATCAGTGAGTAAATAGACAATATATCAAACAACATATTAATACCTATTATCTTTATCAATCTAAATTTTAAAATAAAAACGCACAAAGATAGATTATTTGCTTTCGAAACGTCGAGTTGGGCACTTGACCTTGCGCTTCCAGCGTTTGTAAATAAAAGACAGGATCGTACTTAAATAAGAAAACACGAATGAATAATAACGCAAACAATAAACAGAAGGGCGTTAAAAGAAACAAACCTGAACACGATTACTCATTTGAAAAAGGTGAGGTCTTTAAGAGCACTAAAA